AAGCTTGAGCAAAGGGTGCAAGCTTCTCCAAGAAGCTTTGAACAAAAGGGTGCAAAAGGGGCAAATCCTCCATACACGTGTATGGAGGACAAGTCCGTGCACTCCAGCTGGCACAGCTAGCATGCACCATGCCTGAAAAAGGCGAAAAGGAGGTATCGGCCAGAAAAGGAGTCAATCGGCCAAATGAATGGTCGGCCGATCACACAAAAATGTCGATACACCTAAGGGAATACCGATCGACCAAACATTTGGTCGGTAGAAAAAAAAACAAGGCCGGTGGCATCATGCCACGGCCGGTGGGTTTCAGGGATGGCTAACAAGCCTCTTCCCACCCTTAGAAGCACAAAACACAAGTCCTTGGTGCAAAACCAAGCACAAAACAGGCAAGTTAAGAGATCCTGAGACAAGGCGCGCAGCCGAGGCCTCCAGGAACTCGAAACGAACACGAACATGGATGATCACTGAGCGTTCAAACGGTGACGTCCAAGTCTTGAGGACGGTCAAAAATGGGGCGTCTATAGCTTGTTACTTTGGCTCATCATTCTAGGCTATTTTGGCTATGCTCCCATATGAATTTACTCTTGTTTTAGCATGCTTAAACTCTATTTTTGGTTGGCTTGGCCACTTCTTGCTTGCATTTTGTACTTGTAATGCAAATCGTCCTTACTAGCTTAACATGCTTGATGTTGTAGTCTATTATTTTAGCATGTATTGGCTCCATTCCAGCACATTTTTGATAATGTTTTGACATTCTTTAGGACTGTTTTGAGTGGTCTTGGTCATATGAGCCATGCTTTGTATAGCTATAGTGCAAGTGCCTTTACTAGTCTTGAGTTTTGAGGCACTTAGCATGCTATATTAGTGATGTGTGTATGATGTGGCAACATTTGGTATGTAATTTCAGAGCTTATATCTTTTCCAAACTTCCACTTAAATCACTCTTTCAATGCTTTTGAGAAGTTGAACATTATGCCTTGTTTGTGAGCCAATACATGAGCTTATTGTTCTTGCCATCTATGCTACAAGTCTAGCATGTTTTTGCCACTATTTTGACCTACCTTAGATCAGTTTTGAATGGTTAGGGTCATTTGAGCATTGCTTAGTATGGTTGTAGGGTAAAGGGCCTTGACCAGCTTTGAGTTTTGAGGCCTTTACATGTTATGTATGTGATGTTTGCATGGTATGACACCATTTAGCATGTAATTTCAGTGCATATAGTATAGTCACACTCTCACATATTCCACTCTTTCATTGTGTTTAAGAGTTGTGCCTGCCTCGTTTATGAGCCAATACGTATGCATGATTGTCTAGGCTTTGGGCTATCATTTCAGCATGTTTTGGTCTTTGTTTTGGCCTAATTGAGCTCTGTCCATGGCTGGTTTAGACATTTGTGCTATGTATTGCATGCCTCTTGTGTAGTGCCCTTTACTAGCCTTATGCTTTGGGCCTTGTACCATGCCTTATTTGTGATGCTTATGTGATATGGCATCATTAAACACATAATTTTAGAGCATATAACCTTGTTAAAATCTCATGTTTATCGCTCTTTAATTGTGCCCTTATGCCTTGTTGATGAGCCAATGCACGAGCATCATTATCTTGCCTTTCATGCTATCATTTCAGAGTGTTTTGGCCACTATTTTGGCATGCATGAGCTCTGTCTACGGCTGGTTTACTCCATTGAGCATTGCATTGCATAGTCTTAGTGTTGCGTACTTCAATAGCTTTCATGCTTAAGTCCTCTAGCATGCCATACTTGTATTGTTAGCATGATATGTCATCATTTGGCACATGATTTTGGTGCTTGTACCTCTATTATGCTCTCATACATGTCACTCTTTCAATGTGTTTGAAAATTAGAATTTGTGCCTTACTTGCGAGCACACAAATGGGCATGTGTTCCTTGCTTTTTGTGCCTAAATCTTAGTATGTATTGGCCACTGTTTTGGAGCATCTTAGGTCTGTCCATATGTGGCTTGATCATTTGAGCATTGTAGTGCATGCCTCATGTGTAATGTACTTCATTAGCTTTGAACCTTAGCTTCTAAACATGCCATCCATGCATTGCTTACATACTAGAATCTTGTGCATGCCACTTTAGCATTGATAGATAGGCATGTTGTATGCATTGCATTGTGTTTGGATCGGACGTTAATCCAAACATGAGGAATGTGGCACATTTCATACTCAAAGTGATGAAACGTGTTGTGTTTCTCGGTCACTGACACCCTTGATCATGCATGATAGGGTGGAGGCTCTTCGAGTCTTGTTTGTGCATTCACTAACGTTGTGCGAGCTTGGCTCTTTGGCCATCATGCATTGAGACGCATGATTGGTGGCTTGAGAGTCAAGTACTACGCTCCTTTGAGCTTGAGAAATGATAAAGAGAGTAGTTGCACATACATTTCCTTGTAAATGCATTGTTGATCTCTATTGCAGCAAAATTGAGGTTCTGGAAAAGGAAGTGGCCAGCCAGCCACTTGCACTAGCTTGCCGGCCAGTTGAAGTGGCCTGCCAGCTAGTTGAGGTAGCCTGCCGACCAGTTGAAGTGGCCGGCCGGCCACTTGCAGCAATTTTTTCCAAAATGCTCCTATTTTAAGGCAGATGCAACCTAAAAGTGTGTTCGATGCTCTGAGGTCACCGCAAGTGCAAATAGAGACAACTTGTGGCAAGGCAGTGCATTTCCGGGCGAAGCAAACCGAGCATGCATTTCTCCCTCGCCTTCGAGGCCATTTAACTGCTTTACTTGCTAGTTAGTTTACCGGCTTTGTAATTAATTAGTTAATGTGCTTAGCTAATTTAATTCGTCTTTGTAATATTCTAAATAGCTTAACATAGCTAGTTTTCAATTCGGCTTGTAATTAATTAGCGTAGTTGGTTAATTAGTTTGGTCTGTAATAAGTAGCTTAGCTAAGCTCTTATTTATTCGGACCCTACGGAGGTCAAATGCTGTAATAAGTGTGGGTGTGTGTGTGTATGTCTTCCAACCCCCACTTCTTTCTCCCTTTTACTTATCAGCTTTTGATGGTTAGATTAGGACATATTTTAATTAGCATACCTTATGCTTTGCATGCGTGCATCATTCATTTGTCTTGCATGCACCGAGCTCGGCGCATCATTCAAACTGCATCGTATTTCAATACCTATTTGAATACATGTATCAAAGTGTTGCTTTCATATCCCATTTTAGGTAGCTTAGCCTATTTAGTTTCATTTTGCATGTGTTGCATTAGGCATCTTAACATAGCTAGGATCATGCATTGATTTCTAACTAGCTTTTGTTTTGGCTTGGAGTACACTGTAAGTGTTTACGCTTTAGCATACCGCATGAGATGTGTATGTTGCCATGTTAGCATGCTTGCCATGAGCCTATTTGCTTAACTGCTATAACTGCATGAATACCTGTGGATGAAGGCTTCATTGCTTGAATTGGAACAATTCATCAAAATGTGCGTTTTAAGCTCACTTTGCGGAGTGGCAAAATCATCATGCTTTTAAGCCCACTTGAGGGTGGCAAATCCTCATTTCTAAGTCCACTTGAGGGTGGCGAATTCAAACCGTTTTCGAAAACAAACATTGAATTGTTTTGTTCTAATTTAGGCGATTTAGTCTATACTTGTGTGTTGTGCGCATCACATAATAAGTTAGATTAATAACCAGAATAAGAACACATGTGTTTATCAAAACAACATATCATGTTTAGTAGAGGCCGATCTTTTGATTGGGCGAGCGGGGGTGCTCATTTCAGGACCTTCCCCTCTCGTACCCAAATTCCCGAGCTGAGGCAACTTTGGTGATGACGGACACGTGGCCTTTGGCACGAGTCAGGGTTTCCTAAATTTTCTCAAAAACAAAATATTTAGGTGGCGACTCTGAAATCTGGCAAAGCAGTCCATGTTTGGCGCTTTTTGATAAAAATCATTTTTTCAAAACGATTTGCCGGATTTGGACACTTTGGTGATTTATCAGTCTTACATTGCACTTTGTGAGATTAGATTCAGAATCGTGACAGGAGTCCGAACTGTAGTAGCTAGAACCCAAATCCGCGCCCTCTCCGAAAAGGGGGGGCGCGCGGAGGACGTTCAGGCGGTCTACATCAGTGATATTTTTTTGTGATAAAATTTTTAAATTATCATTGAAAATTAATAATTAACAACGTTTTTTTAATAGTGTTTGATAAAAAATACTATTAATTATTATAAGACCTATTAAATAATAAATTACTTATTAAGACATACACGTAAATCTCTCAATTTAAGAGTTTGGCCAGTCATTAATTTCAATAACAATAATGGCTTAAGGAAAATTAAAGAGCCATTAGGAATTGGCAAAGTAAAAAAAAAAAATTAATTATTATACCTTGAAATTTTTATTCCTGATGTAGTATGGTGTCGCCAGCAGCATTCCTAGCGTTCAGCAACTCAAGAGCAGGGACGGATCCAGGATTATGACTTTGGGGGGGCCAAAGTACGTTTAACTTCTAACCAATAAAATTTGAAGTTCAATACCAATTTCTACTAACATGAAAAAAATCAATAATGTTACGATAAAATATTGAACTATATATTACTTGTCAGCATAGTTGAGTATGAAAGATGATCATACAATTGAGAATATTTTTTTTTTCCCATATTCACTTACAAAAGGTAGTAACTATTTCTACATGCATTTATTTATTAAAATTAGGCATCTTCAATTGAGCTCGACCCTCCGCTCTTTCATAATATCAAAAGCATGAATGATAGAGTCTACATCAAACCCTCGAGCAATGTCTTTTTCAATGTATGTAATCAAGTAACTAGCCAGAAAACCATCTTCCATCCTATTGCACAATTTAGACTTAACAAGTTTCATAGCTGAAAATGCATGTTCCGATGTAGCAGTTGAAACAGGTAAAGTCAACACAAGACGGATCAATCTATCAATAAAAGGATAACTTGTCGACCTTTTTTTTTTGTTTTTGCCAACATTTAACACAACTCAAAAATGGTTGATAGCTTCTAAAACTCGGGAAGTATGGAAATATCAAGCTTATAGTTTTCCAACTGATACTTCAAATGCAATTTTTCTTGCTCAGGGAAATTCACGGGATAAAATTTATTTGCAAGATTGCAAATATCCTCAATTTTGAATGATCTATAACCATCCCTAGGATCCAAAGTTGAATTAAGAACAAGCAATTCCATTACATCTTCCTTAAATCTATTGTTTAATTCTTGTAACTGAGAATCAACTGTAACCATAAAAATATTAACTCGAAAATGATGTTCCATTGTGGGCTGATCTCTTTCAGAACGAGACCGACCTCGGCCTCCTTTATAAGGACAGCTCATATCAGGAATCTGTATACCATGATCATTAGAAAATAATTTAATTTTCTCCAACAATGGAACCCATCCATCTTCTCTAAATTTTTGAATAAGTATCTTCGTTGTAGACACCAAATGCATTGCATTTAATATATCTTGAGATTTACTTTGCAAAGCTTGGCAAAGATTATCAGTAATCTCCATGATATCCTTTATAAGATGTAAGATGAAGACAAACTCAAAAGATGTAATGGAATCATAAACTTCATCTGCCTTAGTTCGTTGGTTCGATTTGCTTCCATCATTAATTATGTTTCTTAGGACTGCACAAGTAGCACTAAACATGTTTATCAAACTACAAATGGGACCCAAATGAGAACCCCATCGAGTATCTCTAGCCCATTTCAATGTTCCAATCTGATTTTTTCCTTTACCAGTCTCGAATTCATCATCAATGGCAAGCTTTTCAGCAATATCTGCAGCCTAAGCAGCTCTTAATTGATCATGTCTTTTGCAAGATCAGCCAACTATATTAATTGCTTGAGTCAAGTAAGAGAAAAATTGATTGATAGATATAACCTGTTTAGATGCCCCTACTAAAGCCAATTGGAGCCGATGAGCAAAGCAATGAACACAATATGCGAATGGACACTCAGCACAAATTTGAGCTTGCAACCCAGTCCATTCTCCAGACATGTTATTGGCACCATCATATCCCTGACCACGAATATTTTGCACACTAAGGTTATGATGAGAAAGGACAATACAAATTTCTTCTTTCAAAGTTGCCGACGTGGTATCTAACACATGAACTATGTCAAAGAAACGCTCTTTATAAAACCATATTTATCAACAAATCTCAAAATAATTGCCATTTTCTCTCTTTTCGATTCATCTTCAGATTCATCAACTAGAATGCAAAAATTCCCATCATTAATCTCCTCACAAATGAATTTTTGTATCTTATCAGAGAAGATACTAAGAATCTGCTTTTGAATCCCATGGGAATGATAAGAAGCATTTTTAGGAGCATTTTCCAAAACCACTGTTGCCACATCCTCATTATAAGAAGCCAAGAGCTTTATCAACTCAATAACATTCCCTCGGTTGTTAGATTCGTGGCTTTCATCACGACCTCTAAAAGCACAGGCTTGGAATGTTAACCATTTAATCACATCTATCGAGGCCTTCAATCGTAAACAATTTCTAGCAATTTGTATGGAAGTTTGTTTTTCAACAACTAGCCTATCACTCGTGCTATGCACGAGATAATTATAGATATTTATATTTGTTTTACATTTTTTTAATATATAAATTATGTTTTTTAAGATTTTTTTATAAAAATAATTTAACAATCTTATCACTAACTAAAGTGTATGAGAGAAGTTGAAAATGATATTGCAGTAACTATACACAAATTGTATCTATAATTATTTATATGAGAGGATTTTAAATGCTGATCAGGGAATTTTGACCAAATCAATAAATGCAGGCATGTGGAAAGACATGTGGATTGAAAAAAGTTAATAAATGCTGATCAGGGGATTTTGACCAAATCAATAAATGCCGAGTTTTTTTTTTTAATAAAAAATTTAGAAAATTCAGATTGGGATATTGAAACTCCCACAGGCCTTGGGGGTTAAAAATCCCCTTTTGCTTAATATATAGTATAGATTGCCTCAATATGCTGCGCTTGATTTGTTAAATCACAACAATATTTGACAGCAACTCTATGCGATGAGGTAGGATCCTTGCCCATATGCGATAACAAGGGACAATTCTTCCCTTTATTGACTTTCTTCCAAGAAGAAAATCCCTTGATCGTAAAAGCACTAGATCCAGGGCGTCCAGTTGGCTTAGTAAAAAGAAAACATGGAAGGAAAAACACACGATTTTTTGTTGGAGAGTATTCCAACCAATCCAGAAATAACTTGTACCAAGAATCTAAAAAACGACGTACATTCTTATCAGTTTCAAAAGGTTGATTGTTCAAAGCCTTGGGTTGATATGGCTCGGATTTGATATAAGCACGTCTGATCTCATCACGTTCAGATACCGGGTAATCCCATATTTGTTGACGCAACCTTGGATCCCTTACCAAAGAAGATGTATCAACTTCTTTAGATTCGACTCTTGGAAGTTTAGCAGGACGTTGTTCCAGATGAGTTGAAGTTTCAACATTATTGGTGGAATTTTGAACAATATTTTCAGAACCTCTTTTCTTAAAGAAGGAATCAATTTTTTTGTTCGCCATGATTAACTTAACTTTCAATAATTATTATTCAACAACCTGAAAGCAATTAATTTAAGAATAATAATTGTTATTATTGCACTATATTTTTAATGTAAATAGACTCTAAAAAAAACTTTCAGAATCTTATATAATCCTATCCTATTCCTAAAAGTCATAAAATATATGGCAGCACAAAATAACATTTAGATTTTTATCCAAATTCTTAGAGGAAATCAACAAATCATAACCTAAAAGCTTATTCAATTATCAAGAAATCACATAATACCTACCAATTACAATAAATCATAGTATTAAAAAAAAAAAATTCACAATATTTAGTTAATAATTGTACCAATAACAATTATCAGATTTTCATCGCACCAATAACAAATTAAAAACAAAATAATCACATTATTCAGTCTAAAATCACAATCAATTATAGATTCATAATATTCAGTCTAAAAGCAGAATAATCACATCACATTGAAGTTGAAGGGATATTAGACAACTTACCAGATTCATAACTCTTCGTTTGTGAATATCAGATAACTTATGCCCTGTACAGATTATTTTATCTGATATCGTTTCAGATTCATAACTTATTTTTTTGTCAAACCATAATGCAATTCCTTACTCTTCGTTTGTGAATATCAGATAATTTCGTCTAAAGGGATATCCACGGTTCCACCATCCATGCCGACGAAGCCTTCACCGGACCACCGACAACAAAGCTTCTCCGTATCCCTCATCCCTTTGCTCCTCTCTCTTTCGTAGAATCGCAGCAAGTCTCTCAGATCAGATCAGTTGTTTTCGTTTCTTTTTTTTTGTTTTTAATCTTAGTGCTTTGTTTAAAGCTTCTCCAGCAAGCTTTATAGCTTATATATTTGTAAAGTTTCATATTTTACACTTTGACCCATTAAAGTTTCTAAAATTTTGCTTCCATCTTGACATAATTTAAAATATATATATACATGAAATTTAAAATAGATAATGATATATGTTAACTAATTCAAAAAAAAAAAAAAAAAAATTTCCAAATTGTTTAAAAAATTGAGGGGTTACTCTATATAATTTTGAAATTATCTAAAAATAATTTGGGTGTGCGAACTCCTATAATTTTAAATTATTTTAAAATTTCTAGTATAATATATGATATTTTTCAAATTTTTAGGGGTGCGGCCGCCCCCCTAAATCCATCCTTGGGGTGTTTGGTTTGTTTGGAGAAGAGAAAAGAGAGTAATGAGTTGAATATGAGAACATGGAAGAAAGGAAGAAGAGAGGGTTGCCCAAATAGTAGAGAAACAGAGATGGCATTTAGTGGCAAAGAGATCAGTGGAAAATAAACGCTAAAGATAAATAATAAATAAAGAGGAAGAGAAGACGTACAAACAAGAACAAGAGAGGGGGGCCAAAGGGGGTGTGTAAGAATTAAATTTGTATTTATCATCTGACGTAATAGCCCCTCATTATTCTCAACCGTCTCAATTACTCTTTGCATTTATTTGTTTATAATGGTTTCTCAATCTAATATTGTTCTCTTTTTTTCAATGCACGAACTACCCTAACCCAACACAACCTAATCCAATCTCTTTCCGCTTATAATTACTTAATTACCCTTTTCTTTTTCTCTTTAACTAAAACTAGTCTACCACCCGTGCTATGCACGAGATAATTATAAATATTTATATTTGTTTTAGATTTTTTTTAATATATAAATTATATTTTTAAGATTTTTTATAAAAATAATTTAACAATTTTATTACTAATCATAGTATATGAGAGAAATTAAAAAGGGTACTTTAGTAATTATACACGGGTTGTATCTATAATTATTTGTATGATGGGATTTTAAATGCTGATATAGAGATTTTGACTAAATCAATAAATGCAAGCATGTGGGTTGAAAAAAGTTAATAAATGCTAATCAGAGGATTTTGACAAAATCAATAAATGCTGTGATTTTTTTTTTTAAATAAGAAATTTAGAAAATTAAGATTGGGATATTGGAGCTCTTACAAGGCTTGGGGCTTTGAAATCCTTTTTTCCTTAATATATATAGATAGATGATATACATATTTTCTTATGGGGTACTTACGTGTAGGTCCTAATAAGTAAACTTATTGTCTAATAGGTCTTATGAAAAAAATTTGTCATAAAAAAAATCACTAATTGTAAGATTTAGCGACAATTTATAAAAATCATGATAAAAAAAAATACTAATTGTTAATTTTTAACGACATATATAAAAAATTATCACAAAAAAATTATTTTTAGTGACAATTTTACCAAGACTTATTTTCAATAGGATTTGATGGGAGTTAAGTCTAACTATTAAGTTATTCTCAACCGTCTCAATTACTCTTTGCATTTATTTGTTTATAATGGTTTCTCAATCTAATATTGTTCTCTTTTTTTCAATGCACGAACTACCCTAACCCAACACAACCTAATCCAATCTCTTTCCGCTTATAATTACTTAATTACCCTTTTCTTTTTCTCTTTAACTAAAACTAGTCTACCACCCGTGCTATGCACGAGATAATTATAAATATTTATATTTGTTTTAGATTTTTTTTAATATATAAATTATATTTTTAAGATTTTTTATAAAAATAATTTAACAATTTTATTACTAATCATAGTATATGAGAGAAATTAAAAAGGGTACTTTAGTAATTATACACGGGTTGTATCTATAATTATTTGTATGATGGGATTTTAAATGCTGATATAGAGATTTTGACTAAATCAATAAATGCAAGCATGTGGGTTGAAAAAAGTTAATAAATGCTAATCAGAGGATTTTGACAAAATCAATAAATGCTGTGATTTTTTTTTTTAAATAAGAAATTTAGAAAATTAAGATTGGGATATTGGAGCTCTTACAAGGCTTGGGGGTTTGAAATCCCTTTTTCCTTAATATATATAGATAGATGATATACATATTTTCTTATGGGGTACTTACGTGTAGGTCCTAATAAGTAAGCTTATTGTCTAATAGGTCTTATGAAAAAAATTTGTCATAAAAAAAGTCACTAATTGTAAGATTTAGCGACAATTTATAAAAATCATGACAAAAAAAAGTTACTAATTGTTAATTTTTAACGACATATATAAAAAATTATCACAAAAAAATTATTTTTAGCGACAATTTTACCAAGACTTATTTTCAATAGGATTTGATGGGAATTAAGTCCAACTACTAAGACCTATTGGTAGTTTACCCTTTTCGTATCTACTCACTTGGTATTTAGGAATAAACTTTTGAAATTTGTACTAAAATTTATTTCAATAATGCGATATAATAATAATAATACTATTATTTTTTGTTTGAAAATTTTGTTTATTGGTGAATTACTCTACTTATACAAATGTGTGATAAATAATAACCAATATAGTGTCTTAATTATTAGGTTCAACGAACTGAGCTGTTCGCAAGTTGGCTTGGCTCGACTCGTTAAGGGTACGACTCAACTTAGTTCGTCTAGTAAATGACTTGAGCTTAAATATTAAGTTCGTTTAGTGAATGAGCCGAGCTCGAATTCAAATAAACTCGGCTCATTAAGCTCGACTTGTTTATCTTTATTTAAATTATATAATAAATATATTATTTATATATTAAATAATATATAAATAATAGCATAAATACATTATTTATGTTTTTAATATAAATAATATTTTTTATTTAAATATATTTATTTAAATAAAATAAATAACAATAAAAAATCTTATTGAGTTGAGCCGAACCGAGCTACTGATCGTGCCGAGCTCGAACTCAATAAGTCAAACTCGAGCTTAGCAAAGCTAATCTCGATTTGGTTCGGCTCGTTTACAGTCCTAGATTTATGTAGTATTAACAATCAACTAGTTTTGTGATTTGTAATAAATTGTTTTTTTGTAGTGCAGTTTTGCCACTTTTAAAAATCAACAAATATGCTTCTTCACAACCCTGGCTCTACCAGGTATTAACTCCATGGTTTTATGATACTGAAGTTCAATTTGTAGCTGGCAGGAAAGGAAACTAAAATCAAAAACCAAAACGGTTTCAAGGTGCTTTCGAGTTTTATGATGAGTTCAATTGTGTTCAACAGTGGAACCATTTTGATTAGTTATAAGAATGGTTCTCAAGTTGGCTATCTAACTTGAGAGAGCCATTGGATCCATTTTGAGACATTGGTAATTCAAACCATTTACATTTTAGGACTCATTCAGTAATATCACTATAACAAATAACACTTTTGGCGACTAAATTTTTGATCGCCAAAAGTCATGTTTTAGTCGGTGAAGGTTTTTAGCGACTAAAAGTTTTGGTCGCCAGGTTAGTCAGTGGACAATTGTCGGGAAAGGTTAGTGGCGACTAAATGGAAAGGTTATTGGCGACTAAAAAAAGTTTAGTCGCCAAAAGCGTTCAATTGCCGACCATTTTTTTAGTCGCCAAAAGCATTAAAGTAAAATTAAATATAACATTTTCAGTGACTAAAATTTATTGTCACCAAAACTTTAAATTATTTTTAATGACTAAAATTGTAGTCGCCAAATAATTTTTTTATTTCATCTTATTGTTTTTTAGGTACTAAATATTTTAGTTGCCTAAAGTTTGATTTTTTTTCGTTACTAAACTTTTAGTCGTCGAAAGTCTGATTTGTTTTTGCCTACTAAACCTTTAGTCACCAAAAATGTATTGTTGTTCAGGTTATTTTTGTTTAGCTACTAAATAATTTAGTCACCTAATGTTTGATTTTTTTGAGCTACTAAACTTTTTGTAGCCTAAAGTCTGACTTGTTTTTGCCTAACAACCTTTAGTCGCCAAAATTTTTTTGTTCTTTGTTTGCAATTTTGTATCTACTAAACATTTTAGTTGCCTATAGTGTGATTTGTTTTGGGGCTACTAAACTTTTAGTCGCACATTTTTTTTTTAGCTACTAACTATTTAGTCGCTAAATTAATATTCCTTTTTGCCTATGAATTGTTTAGTCGCCAAAAACATAATTTTATATTTTTTCTCCAAATTCTAATTTGTT